CTTTGCAGATTTGTAACTGTTTGATGACCCTGAGACCGAGATTCTTCACTTCCAGACAAGACGCTACGTAACAAGGGGTTTACGGAAAAACCTGGGCTGTCTACCTTACCAGGCTACCTTACCAGTCTACCTTGCCTGTCTAAGACGTCAGGCTACCGAACTCCCCCATCCACAGCCTCACGAACAGCAAGACTTCCAAGCAGCTGCGCCCTCTGGCGGAATGCATCAGAATTGCACCCACTACTTTGGCACGTGCGTGTGCACAAACCTTTATATAATAGGCCTGTTCAGCATGGTAATCTCCAAGCAGATTTTTCGGTGGCAAGACAGTATCCATTGGCCAGAGGAGTGTCTAATGGATACAGGACGGCCAATGGATACAGGATGGCCAATGTATACTGTCTTTTGCCACCCAACCGAAAGATCTGCTTGGAGATTACAGCATGGAGATAACATAGCCTGACTAATCGCGCTCCTGGCGGCCGGCCGCCCCGAAGTGGGTGGGGGTCATTAACCTAACAGGGAAACGGATGTCGTGGTTACTTTGAGAGCGCACGGGTCGGAGACCCTGTTCATACTAGACTTATATTTAGCGGTTTCAACCGGTTTTTCAAAAACCCGGCTAAAACCCTTAGCGTTCATACCAGACTTTTGATAACCGGTTTTGTAAAAATCCTGTCCGGTGAATATCCAATTAATCGGCCATGACTGCAGTTTGAATAACCGTTCCTCCCGCTCTTCTGCTTGTTGTCCTTGGCCTTCTTGCTTGTATGTCGTCTTCAGTTTGTTTTTTTACCTTAGTGCGGCACTGATCCTTTATCTTCAAGAAATCAGCCTCCTCCAACATTTTTGTTTCGGTAGAGCCCTCGCCCCCCCCCTAGCTTTTTCGAATTTGGCGACTCCTGCTCTCCAAACCTGAGGAGCGTCCCGTCCGCCGACCAGGTTGCGTTTGCTGATTCCATCGCAAAATGAAGAAAAACAGTGGAAAAACAGTGGAAACGAACTCAAAGCTGGTCAAAACAACGCGATCAAAAAAGCTTGCAGGTCGCACACGGCCAGGATGCTGACCCGTGACCCCGGAATTATGACGCAAAAAACCGGTTCAATAAACCCTTAGCGTTCAGACCAGGTTTTTCGGTGGAAAAACCCTTCAAAAACCCCTCAAAAACCACCTCCCGAGGTGGTTTTTCAAAATCGGATTTAAACCCCTAAAAACCGGTTAATTTGCGTTCACACCAGGTTAAATAAAAACCGGTTTTTGAAAAACCGGTTGAAACCGCTAAATATAAGTCTGGTATGAACAGGGTCGGAGTGTGTATTGCATCAGAACAGCTGCAGGGTGAACTTTTGACCGAAGCGCGGGGGCAGCATTGTCCGTGCCGCACATCTGTAGAGAATCATAGGGACTGTACAATATTTACCGGGGGGAGGGCTTGTACAAAAAGGGTCCGGAAAAAATTTTTCCCATCGCCCTTCCTCCGGCTCAATTTTTTTTTCCAACCCCAACCATTTTTCGGTGCCCCCCCCCCCCACATTTTTCCATGTGATTGTCTCACTGATTTGGGGCTGGTGGGAGACAAATATTCACGTCTGAAACGTACGCACGGCCGGTACCACTGTGGACATGTAGTTCCAAAAAATTAAAAACTAGATTTATGCCGTGTACTATGTGATTGTATGGTAACGTAGCGGGGAACGCTTCATGTTCGGCCTTGTTTTCACCGCTGGCCGCAGCCGACTTGCAAGACGTCGCCACCGCATCGAAGGGTAAGGCAAGTGCAGCGAAACGTACAGCTTTGGATCCCGGAGAGTGTTGGTGATCAAGCAAGCAATAGTCAAAGATTTGTGAAAAAAAGACAATATTTAAATACTGATTCTATCGGTAACGGGGGGTAGTTGAATGTTGATGCACAAGTACGTAGCTTTAATGTTTTTAATACGAAATGCGCCGAACACTTCTTTATAATAATAGCGCCCGCCCGATCGACCCATGGAGAGTAACAATCATACAGGCGGAGAACTGGGCGGAGTATTTTGGTGTAGAGGTGCTACCGAATTTAAAATTTCACACCGAAACCAATTACACAAGAGCTAAAGACTACTGAGATCAATGGGACTTGCAATTCCGAACGGGAGAAAGTGACAAGTTTGACTGCGTTTCAAGTAATCTCTCGTTATGTGATAGATGTTTTTGTCACAAAATCAAAGGAATAAATTTTAAGTACAGTCTGTTCAGAGGAAAGAAAGACTTCCTTCTCGGGGTCCATGTTCTGGAAAGCTGTCCTCAGCGCTGCGCATGCCACGGCCCTCTCTGCGTTCTTCAGCTGTAGGTATACTTTGCCTGTCGGCGCGCCAAACACCCCACCCACCAGCCGGGCGGTAAGATTTCATCAAAGACTACATTTTAAGTTAACTTCGCCCCTATCATTGTAGCTTGCCGAACAGTCGAGTAGGAGTATATCTAGCTGGAATTTTCACGTCGCACTGGCTGGTGTAGCCCCGCTAC